CTTTTGGGTTTTTCTCATCTTCTATCATACTACTTCACCTGTGATGTTGCCTAAGTTTATTTTGTGAATTTTTGCTGTTCAGTGTCCTTGTTCATTTTATAGGAAGATTTTGTTTAATTCTGAGGAGTTGCTGTGCAATCAACCCGGTGTCCTTGGGCAAAATAATGACAATGTCCTTGAGCACAACTCAAACTATGACTTTACTCGTTGCCAACAACTTTGAAAAGATCTATGATATTCTGTCGACATATTTTCTAATTATCTGTCACTTTGACCCGCAATCTTTATGATTACTTACTGTCCTCCTGTGATGGTTGGTTCTTTCATGAGGTTTCTACATTAAATTCATCTATTGATAGTAATTCCTATGTTTTCAGTATTTCTTTGCACTATCAATCTAGCATAATGAATGGATTTGATAAGGTCCTATATATGGTGCACAAAAATGTATGCTTGAGAGTACAATAATAATTTAATGGGTTATCTTCCTTTAAAGCAGCTTCAAGTTTCATGTATGATGTATTTTAATGTATGCTATTATTTTGAAAACAAGTATTATAGTATAATAAATAATTAAAATAGTTCTTGAAATGACTAAAATGATATAATGATGTGTGAACTTGGTTGTTGTGACAACTTTTGTTTATGAAATGATTATTATTATATTAGAAATGATTAAAATGGTTTAGAAAATGACTAGAACCCTATGATATTGTTTGAGCTCGGTTGTTTGACTAGTGTAGATTGCTAAATATTAATTATTGATGTATTCAATTTTAAATTAATAAGAAGTGTTGACTATGCATGATATGGAAGATGGTGAATGCATTTTGTTCAAGGAGGAGGATTTTATGAAGTAAAAAATAAGATACACATACACATATAAAGATATGAGGCTGAATCATAGAGTGAAATTGTACTGAAAGCATGAGAGAAGGGGTGTAGTAGATTTTAATGAATATTGTATCTTGTCTTTGTTGGTTAGTCTTACAAACTTAAGTAACTGATAGTAAAACCTTAGGTAATTGTCACTTTTTAAAGGTTTTTTTTGTCATTTTAATTAATTAAAGTTGTTATTTCTTTCATTAAAGTAGTGAGTCATTACTATTGATGTATTCAAATTTGTAGAAATAAATCATATTGGTAAACAAAAATTTGCATAGCAAAACTTGTCATTTGTCATCCAATTTTAAATTATTTTCCTAAATAAAGTAGTCACTGATTTTTAATAGTTCAACTTAACTAATAAAAAAATTTTTTTGAACAAAGGTAGTTGTCATCCCCCCCTTCTAATCATAGTCATTTCAAGAACCATTTTAGTCATTTCTTATACCATAATAGTCATTTTCAAACCAAAACTTGCTACTAAACTTGTCATACCCACAAGAGTTATGAAAGCACACAAATTGTTTAAAATTAAAAAGGCCAGTGTGCAACTGTCATCTTTCATCCCAGGTTTATTATGACTCCATGACGCCTTCCCATCAATGACGCCTTCCCATCAGAATGATCCATCCGGAGAGCCTAAAACACAACTCAAATTACTAGCTCTTGGGCAAGATCAAGTATGGCACCATAGAAGCCCACACTTCAATTCTCATATTGAGCAAAACACAACGGCAATGCCAAACAAAGTAACGATGGGAATGATTTTCATCCATCCTATTGTATTTCCATAAGCAATCTAATATGTAGAATTATAGTTGATTAGTAAGGTGGAGTTTAGTTACATAGCACTGTAATTAGTTACCTGACCCATTATAGAAGCAACTTCAAATTAAACATAAAAACACTTGGAGTAAGTAACCACAGGTCCAAGTTAAATTCTGCATTTTTTGGGCTTCCAACCTTTATATCATATATTTCAAACTATTATTGAACGTTTCTTTGAATCTTAGTTCATGGTTAAAAAAATTAGCCTTTTTGACTCTTGATTTATACATGTTATGTATATAAGGATTAACGCGTATATGTCCATATCAGATCATATCATTTATTGTTTCTTGCATGTAAAGATAAACATTCTTAAAACATAGAGAGATATGTAACTACAATAAATGATAAGTTTGATGTATTCCCACGACATTTATACATTGATATATATATATTCCATGTCTAGCAAGAAAAAACCTTGTCAAAATAGATAATGAAGACATCATATGCATGAAGACTCTTCTAAAGTTAGCACCAATAAAGTTTTCAACAAATGTTGCAAGTCTGTTATCTAAATTATTTTCTAAACCATGTTATTCATTTCCAATACAACAATAGTTATTTCATAAACAAAAGTTGTCACAATAACCAAGTTCACATACCATTTTAACATTTTAGTCATTTCAAGAGCCATTCTAGTCATATGTTATATTACAATAATCATTTTCAAAATAAAACTTATCACAGCATACGTTGACGTACACCATACATGCACTTGAAGTTGCCAAGGAAGATATCCCACTGAATTGTAAGATTACTCTCAGCGGGCATACATTGAAAAACACCATATATGGGATCCTTGCCTATTCCCTTCATTGTACAAGATCGTTAGTGCAAAGGAATACTAAAACAAAGGAACTATACAACAGATGAATTTAAAATAGAGACTTCAAGAAAGAACCAACCATCACAAGAGACAGATGTACTTTCCCGTGGTGAGCGGCGTCTCTTGTTCAGCGGGAAGCAATCCTTCATTACAATGGAGGGACAGAAAGAAATTATAAGGATTCCGGGTCAAAGTGAACGGCAGCCAGAAAATATATGCCAACGGAATATCGTAGATTTTCTCTAACATCACGTGATTCTTGAATCTTCCGTCCTGAGGCTGCGAAGGATCTTCTCTGATAGGCAGGGAGTAATGAAGAGCAGAATATTGAGAAGGGCAATTTTGTGATTTCATGAAAACATTCATTCCAGATAAGTCTTAAGAGTCTTCAAAATAATTAGAGCATTTCAAGGTTCTTGACTGGGATGTACATATTTTAACAATATTTAGATTAATGAGCACAATAGACTCTAAAGTATTGCCTGAAAAGCGATTTCAACCATGAACTTTCAAAATGTATAAAATAAATTTTGAAAATTTAAATTCGTAGTAAAATAAACTTTGACCGTTAAATTTTTTAATGCTATTACTATTCAACGTGGGCCCCAGTTGATGCTAATGTGTCATAATGAATTAACATCGTAGATCCTAAACTACTATATTAAAAACGTTATGAACTCTGAACTATTATATTATTAGTGTTTTAAATCTTGAATTTTAAAATTTTAAGCAAATTATTCCCACCGTTTATGTATAAAACATTGACTATTATTTAGAGTTCAACGCGGTGAATGCATTGTTGATCACAGCAAACGACCTACAATTTTGTGAAATAACATTTTTACCCTCTTTTTTGCAACATTTTTTAAACGATTGATATCTCATATTTTTATATACTTTATAACTCTAATTTAATTTTATTTTAAATATTATTTATTTATTTAATAATAAAAATTTGAAATGTCATTTGAAAAGAAGTTTAAGTATCATATGATTTTACAAATAATGAATGTGAAGGTGGATGATTTCATTAACAAATTTGAAACTCAAATTAATCGATTAATTAAAATTATCTAATATTTAAACTTCTTTGCAAAAGAAATCCCAAGTTTTCACCATTAAATACATAAATATTAGTCAAAATAATATTAAATTAAAGTTAAAGAGTATACAGCAACATAAATACTAATCATTTAAAAAATATTACAAAAAAAAAGGAAAAAAATATCATTTCACAAAATTATAGATAGTTTGCCATGACCAATTATACATTCACCATGGCAAACCATATTAAAGCTAATTTAATCTACGTAATAATCAACGTTTTATACATAAATAGTAAGGATAATTTGTTCAAAATTTCAAAATTTAAGGTCTAAAACGCTACTAACATAATAGTTCAGGATTCAAAACGGTGCTAATATAATAGTTTGAGGTCTATAGTGCTAATTCATAATGACGCATTAGCATTAACTGAAACACAATAAACAGTTACCGCATGAACAGTAACGACGTTAAAAAATTTGATGATCAGGGTTCATTTTGTTACGAATTTAAAAATTTAAAGCTTATTTTGTACATTTTAAAATTTCAAAATTGAAATTGCTTTTCTAACAATTCTTCAAGATCTATTTTGCTCCTTAATCCATAATATTTTATTGTCATTTCTTCTATTAAATATAATAATGCTAATTTTATAAAGATTAAATTCCAAGTGTCTAATTTTTTAATTAAAAATAGAAATGGGATGAAGAGAAGAAAAGGAGAAAAAGATCTTGCATGATGCTATAACAGGAAAATAGCACAAAAAGAACATAAATAAATACACACAGCTTGTTTGGTTTTGTTATATTTTTTAAAAGCTGTTTTGTAAACTAACCTATAAAAATTAATTTTCGAACACAAAATAAAATCAGAATTTGTTTCATTATAATTTAAAAACAAGTTTAGATTTTAAAAAAAGACCTAGTGGTGGTCCACAGTGATTAATGTGATGGTCTAAGATAGTAGTTTTACAATGATCAAAAGTAATGTACTTCAAAAATAAAAATAAAACCAAATACTTACAAGTTTTCATTTTTTATTTTTTGTAAAACAAAAAGTGAGAATCGCAAATGAAATAACAAGCTAGCTTTTTGCTAATTAATTTTTGATTCTTTGAAAGTGTTGGATCCCAAAAATTAGGGCAGACGAGTCCACACCCCACTAATATATAAAAATAATTATAACTTACCAACAAAATCTCATTCACAACAAAATTCAAACCCCTGTTTTAATAAAATGAATCATATTCTCATCAACTACTCCTTTCAATCTACGATATAAAATATTGATAATCACTTGACATTTTTAAAAAAAATGAAATGATTAAAAGTCAATGGACCATTTATTTGCAAAAAAAAATAACAAATGAAATAAGAATGAAGTTAGAATAAAAATCTAAAAACTACCAAATTCAATATATTTTAAACTAAGCAAATTTTTTAAAAAATGTCTTATATCATATTATACACCAGAAGGAGTAGAAGAACTCAACTCTCGTAGCATGCAACACAAGAAAGCGCACCCACCATTACGTCAAACATGACCTCCAAGTGGAAGATGTGTTCCCTTTATGTCAAGAGCTTTAGGCTTGCCTCATCTTTATCCCTAACGGCATTTGACTGAAGATGACGTGGTGACTTTGGCTACAACTTTGATTCTCTCAAATAGAAGGCACACCTTTGCAACAGCTAAAGATGTATTCTCGACTGACTGAGAATTCTCTAACAATATGGTCCCACAGGAATCTTTTACACAGTGTGCCATTATTAAAGGCCTAGAATCTTAGATATGCAAATCATTGCCATAGGCTCAACATCTAAAGCTCAGATGGGAAAAAGGAGGCGGAGAAAAATAAACAAACCATTTACGCGATAGACAACGCAAATATGCTATCCAAACATTGACCGTAAGCTTGCCTAGAAACTCCAACTAGGGACATGGATTATAATGGAAAAGAATATCCACGCAGGTACCTAGAGTCCACACCTGACTCACGAATAAGTGCTATACGCCCAGTTCGTGCCACCTTCAAACAAGAGGGAAAAAACATCATGAAAACTGGATTCAAACTCAAACATTGCTTGCTGGTGCAAAAGATACCGAGGCTAGGTGTGCTTCACAGAGAATAGGGGCGCATGGAGAGGTTAAAGTGACTAAGTTATCATGTATCTCTAGATCGATTCGCATAAACAAGACAACATAAAAAACAGAGAGCGATGTCGCCCCGTGCGGCGTGCCCCAGGGTTACCACATAAATATTTTCCTCTCTGCATTGCAGATACTTTGACTCAAATAAAGGTAGACCTCAGCACAGAATATCAGTGACTGAGTGAGCCATGTTAAATGATGTTTGAGGAATTCATCAAGGGCAGAGGGGACATCAAATATGAAGATGTGAATATGTAAATTAAAGGAGCCTAAACAAGTCATCCGCCTCCGCAATAAAATCAACCATGTAAATGGAGATTTTCAGGACAAACCTCACAGATGCCATATGGCTCTAACAATCTCTGCAGTGCAACCATCTTATCCAAGTCTCCTGTAAGCTGGGGATAATGCGAGCATATCCATTAGTTACAAAATTTAAAATACAACAGACATTCCAACCAAAAAAAGAAAAACATAAATATGAGGAAGTAAAAGAATCAGTAGTCAATAAGAACTCAGTAAAAACTAAGTTGCAAAAGAAAAGATACTGAAAAGTAAACAAAACAGAAAAAAACTACATAAAAAAAAAGGAAAAGAAAAACATGAGATTAAAAAACTAAGTAAAAGAATTGTGTCCCTTGGGGCTTGTTTGGTTACTGTTTTCAAAAACAGTTTTTTGTTTTTAAAAACAAAAAAATTAAAAAACTTGTTTGGATGAACATTTTCAATTTAATTGTTCCCAAAACTGTTCTCATTTTTTGTTTTTAAAAACAAAAAAATAGAAATATCTTAAAGTTGTTTTCATTTTATATTTCTTGTTTTCAAAATATATTACATTTGATTATTAAAAACCACAATTACCTTGACTAATAATTATCATAAACCACTACTAATAATTACCGGTAACCATTACTATTGACTGATTTTAAAATTCTAAAACTGTTTTTGAATTAACAGAACCAAGTAGATTTTCTTTTTGTTTTGTTTTGAAAAACTGTATTGCAAAACAATTTTTACAAACAAAAAACCAAGAGCAGAACCCAAACAGGCCCCAAGTTCCCTTTTCTTCTATATCCAGCATAACCTTAATGAAAAAAAGTAGTAAGTTGTCAGTTAATATAACCATGCCCGTGTCAGAAGCGCATAATAATTAACTTGACAGTAATCTAAACAAATTTGCATTAATGTGATGTTTATGGACTCCTACTCTTTCTTTCTTTGGAAAACATCTCAGTGCCCTCCCCATAAATAGAAACCAATTAAGAACATTGTGATTTAAATGAACGAAGTAAAGAGAATATAAAGTCAAGGAGGAATTTTATGCCTATATAAACCTAAAATTATATTGATGAAGATGAAAAAGGAGAAGATATTTGTCTAAGTTAGGTATTAATTGCAACAGCACACCATTCTATTTGTAACAGTTAACTAGCGCCATGAATCAATAAGAACAAGAACTTTGTTTTTTTTTTTTTTTTGGTGGGGGGGAGGCTTCACATCAAGATTCTGACTGAGCAGTCTGGAGTTCAGTATTTTCACCAGGTAAAAAACATGAGATAAACTACATTGGATCTATTATAGCTTAAATTGATGTCACCAATTTCTGATTAAAACCTATATGATAAATTGAAATAATTCTAGAAATAATAGTAAAATACATTGCTTATTACTAAGAGGGGACAAAAAGAAAAAGAAAATCATCAGTTTCTGGAGTACAACAATGGTAAAGCATCATCAGGGAAAACAGATCTCAACAATGATAATGAAACAATATGTTGAAAATTCTACGCAACTCACCTCAAGGGTTATTGTATGATCAGATACATCAACAGCTTTGGCTCTAAAAATGCTGGCAATATCAAGGACATCACGTCTGGCAGCAGCATTTACAGCAATCTTTATTAGCATCAATTCTCGTTCAGCAAATGGCAAGTGGGTGATATCACGAACCTGGAAATAAATCACTTGAACATTTATTTGAACCAATATGATCAACATCAACTATTCACAGAAAACCTTAAATTCCTACCATGGATATTATTTCCACAATCAACAAATGGATCATGGCATTGGCCCAAATTATACTGTTAGCACTGTAATTGAATCTGTTTTTTCTCTTATTTTATTGATAAATCACGATTTACATATATAGATGGAGGGGAGAGAGAATAAATCTAATCAGATCCCTAAACTCTCTTATGAAATAAAAACTAATAATAATAATAACTAATTACAGATCCTGAAAGGAAAGTGGACGTTGCAAGCTCAAGAAGGAAAATTAGGTTTGTATATTAGTGGGTCTAGGCCCAATATAGGCAGAGGCACACATCCAACAAGCACTTTACATACCCAGAGCATGAACAACCCCCCAAAAAAAAAACAAAAAAGAAAAAAAAGAAAAAAAAAACACATGTACTGATGTACAATGGCCAAAGTGCCAGGTGTTCATTCATAATAATGCCTAAGATACTAATACAGGGATTTGAAACAGAAAAGAAGCTAAGAAAGATATATGATTCAAGTATGAGATTCTAAGGCTTCTGATTGGCCCATGGCTACTTGCCATATTTGCAATTATAACAATTATAACAGGAGTAGAAAAGAAATAAAAGGACTAATGAGACCGAAAGACATGAAAGTCTATTCTTGAAGAATTAAAGAAATGAGAATGGAAGCGGAGAAGATGGAAATGCAGGGGGGAAACTAGCAAGGAGTAGGGTAGTTATGGGGGTGAGCTAGGAAAACATGGCAGTTACAACTTACAAGTTATTTGAGAGGGGGAGTTATCAGGAAACAAAAGAAGTGGAAAAACTGGAGAAAGGACTTGGGGAGACGGATAGACTCTGAAATGCTAGTCTGTGGTTCTTATTCCAGTCTCATTGCATTTGTGTCACTGATTATCTGCTCATCCATCCCTGTGGAGCATATTTCATGTGCCAAGTTGCTATTTTCTGAGGAACAGTATCGCATCGAAGTGTACTTGTTCAATGCACATGACTGCTGATGAAAGAGTGTTAATCAGTACTATTTCCCATCTCATTTCATGCTTCAAAGTGTCAACTCTCACCATAGTAGAAGGTCCTACTCTTTTGGTTTTAGAACAGGGAGATTGACAGGCCCCAACCTATTACTGCCTCTTTGTACTCTTTTAAGTTGATGAAAGAGTGTTAATCAGTACTATTTCCCATCTCATTTCATGCTTCAAAGTGTCAACTCTCACCATAGTAGAAGGTCCTACTCTTTTGGTTTTAGAACAGGGAGATTGACAGGCCCCAACCTATTACTGCCTCTTTGTACTCTTTTAAGTTGATTAAAAAAAAAAATCAGAGGAAAAGTTACCTCTGATTATTCTGCCAAAAATCTTCAAAAAGAATCTGAGTCTACTAGGACAATGGAGATCACTCATTCTCAAAGAAACTATAGGGCATTACATTCAGTGATGCTAAAAAACGTGATGCTCAAACTCACAGCCTACAGATTATACAATAAAATTTGATGCTATCACTGTCACAATTCAGAATTTGAACCTCATGGAGATCTACTAGTTTGTACAGTTGCTGCACCAACTTGGCTATTGATTCATCTGTGCCAGGAACCACAGTTGTAATTCGAGAAAGTCCCTCAACTTCTGCATGTCCCACAGCTAAACTCTGGGAATGACAAGGAAAAATCCAGCCAGAATGGAATATGTACGAACTAAAAAGGTTAGAAATATAGTTGTATAACTATAACCACAACCAAAAAGGAAAAAATGAAGCAAACCTGAATGTTATAGCCCCTTCGAGCAAAAACCCCAGTAACAATGTTAAGAACGCCAGGAGCATCATTCACAAGCAGGGACAAAGTGTGTGATCGAATTCCACTAGTCTGAAGGGCATTATCCAATCATCAAGAAAGTAACATGCTTGTAATTTAGGCAACCCATGACCATTACAAGCTAATACGTACTGATTTGGCTGAAACAATCTTTATATTTAGCCTACTACACCCTTGATATTGCATTTCTTAAAAATTAGAATAAAAGTCTTTTTAGGTTCTGAAAAAAATTGAAAGTTAGATCTTAACACCAGGCATAAAAAATGGCAGATACTTCTCTAACACCATTTATCAACTAGAAATTTCTCAAGCAAAAAACTGTAAATTAAATTTGAAGATTCAACAGCTAAAACAAACTTAATGATAATGGAATTAAAGTAAATAAAACAGATGCTTTAATGAAAAGAATAATTCAAATGGCATTTACAGGTGTGGATGTGGTTTAAACTTAGGCAACTAGGCACAGAAATATTCAGATTAGGCAGGCGTACCTAACATTGTCTAGTTTTTTGTTTGAACTCCGGAATTTGAATAATTTTGGGTCTGTTTGATTTCTGTTTTTCAAAACTGTATTTATTTTTTTAAAAAAAAAACTCCTTTGAGTGGGAATTTTGCCTCTAAGGGACTTGCTTGATTTCCTATTTTCAAAACAGTTGAAAAACAAAAAATAAAAAATAAAATCCTGTTTAAAAAATGTGTTTTTTATTATAGATTCTGAAAAACAAAAAGTTAAAAGTCGTTCTGAAAAAAAAAAACAGAACATCTTTTTTATGTTTTTTCACTTTCTGCTATGCAAAATTAGAGAGAAGGAAAACAAAAAAACATCATGTTTTCATTAATGACAACTATGTTAAGGATGCAAATAATTTTTTCACCCTTCATTTCACCACTTTAGATATGTTTCTCAAAATAATGTTTCAAACAATTTTTTCATTTTTTTGTCCCCAAAACTTGCTCTAAAAAATTACTCTTAGAATTGTTTTAAGAACGTAAAATTAGAAAAAGGATCAAACAAGACCAAATGTTTCCAAAATTGTTCTCATTTTTTGTTTTTAAAAACAAGAAAATAAAAACATCTTAAGAGTTGTTTCTGTTTCTTTTCTAAAAGCACACTACATTTAGCCACTAGAAGCTACTGTTACCAACACAATGCTACTGCATATCATCGTTATCCACCACTTGCCTCCATTGCCAGTTGCCATCAGCAGTCATCATCAATCCCTATCAGTCATCACGATTGGCCACCACTATGAACCGCCACCCATCATCACCTATCACCACTAGTGTTCGCCGCCAAGTAACCACCATTGGTGGCCATCAACTAACCATCACTAGCCACTGCTGTCACCACTGATCTCTACCAACTGCCATCACTAAATATCTCCATTCTCATCGTTGTTGACCATTACTAACCAGAACTACCATCAACCTCCTTCAAGGCTTCAACCAACACCATCATCTCTTGTTGGCCACCGTGCCCTACCTTGGTTGATAGCCACCATTAATTACAAGTGATCACCACCAAAGTCCACCCTCATCAATCATTGCCGACTACCACCGTCTGTCAATGGTAGTGGTTGACAAGCAATGGTGGTTGAAGGGGGCTAGTGGCGGCGGCTGAAGGCAAAGATGATAAGGTGGCAGGAGGTGACAATGGCCAATGATCAGTGATAGGTAATCGTTGATGGCAAAAAAAAAATGTTTTTTTGAAAAATATTACATTAAATGAATTTTTTAAACTCAAACTGTTTTTTTGACCCAAAAAACTCAACTATTTTTAAATTAAGAATATCAAACAAATTTTTCATGTTTTATTTTGAAAAAATTTTAAAATTTGACTTGTAAAATGGTTTTTAAAAGAACAAAATAAAACAAGCCCAATTATATATCAAAAGAGAAAAATATAGAACCCAAATATTTTACAATGTGTACCCAATAAACCAAACATAAACTTCATTACCTTTTTCTAAGAAAATTCAATAAGAATTGCCTATGAGAATGAATTGTGTTACATCTATAATGCATTATAAGGAGAGAAGAAAAAGTAACATAAACTATCTTACATCTTCTTCATTGAGAACACCCCAGTGAGCATCAAGGACTTGATTGACTGTAAAGCCATCTGAAGGCTCTATAGGATAAACATCTCCCTTCACAAAAGCAGGCACGTCAAGTTAAAAAAAAAAACAAAATAAAATTAGAAGGGGGGTTAACGGGCTTCCCAATAAACAGTACAGAATGAACATCAGAAGTTGCACAAGCAGATGATGATGCACTAATCCATGCAGTAGTTACAAATTGTGGAATTGAGAAGAAAAATATTTCTCACTGATGCGGAATATTGGAATACAACTAGGTATTCATATACAAGGATGGATAAAAAATAATAGTCACTAATAATGACTAAAAACTACTAATAAGGCCTAGGAATATTTACAACAGTAACAATATCTTTACAACAAATGCCTAATATTCCCACACAAATAAATGTCTAATATTTTCTCTAGTTCCACGTTGCTAAAAAATTACCTAGGCCTGTGTGGAATGGTTGAGAACCTTTACTTTGATACAAATTTTTACAAATGGAAATTCAAGGACACTCAAGAAAATTATCAAACCCAATGGCATCTTGAACACTCAAATCTCTTGATGAATGATATATCTGAAAAGTTGGGTATTGAACATAATGGCATCTTGAGATCCATGCAGCACAAGACTTGTTGGAGTTTCAAACTAAGCGATGCAAAAGACAAGCAGTTTGTGCTTGACAAGACCACTCTAGGTAAGAACTTATATAAATATTTGAGACATTTGCGATCGGTAAATCTTTCTAAAAAAGTTCCTTTTGTCAAATTACAACGTAGGGTGAGTATAGGTTTGCCTTTATAGTATAGCTTGGCGACACTTACAATAAATAATTTTCTAGTGAGGTTATTATAGTCCTAAAAAAATAATTTTACTACCATTGTCTCCAAGGAAAAAACTCCAGTTCTCTACCTCCATCTCATAGTTAAAAGAACTGTGTGATCCCAGAAGCACGACTTTGGTTTTTATAAACACCCCCCCGAAAAAAAAAAGGAAGAAGAAGAAGAAGAAGCAGAAGCTTGGCCAACCACCTTCAAACCTCAAAATGCCTCCTAAAAAAATTGATTTTATGGATGAGTAATGTTGCTTGTCACCCTCAATTAAAAAAAAAAAAGAATAGAGAGAAGAGAAAGATAATTATCATTGAGGTCAATAATAGGGATATAATATATAGTATGTCTGGATTAACAGATCATAAACAACGCATAAGTGAATAAAATTATTGCCAAAAAGAAAGAAAATTTAAGGTTAAGAACAGATCTCTCACCCCCATGCTTATTTCGTTTTTGGCAATAGGCTTTCTATTTTTCACACCCACAAGAGCATCAATAGGCATTTTTCCTTCAAGATCCGGATAAGAAGCAGCTGAATATCGCCAAAATGGAGCAGATGCACCCATTTTCTCTCTTCTCAAAGCAATCTAACAGGAAATACATTAGTTAAAAGTGGCTTAATACATATTCCACAACCTATCTATATAATATTTGGTGCAGTCAATTGAGATTAGGCACTCAATTGAAATTTCAAACCTTTCCCGTCCTGGCTATTTCTTTAATTCCAAACTTGTCAAGATTCCTTTGAACTGCGACCATCTTACCTGGATCTCCCGTAACCTGTAACAGTTGGCAATGTAACTGAACTGCAATTCTGGACAGATGGCATCACTGAGAATGGCAGAAGTTGTAGATGACAATGGCAATGGTATTACAGAAATACATGTTCGATGATATGGGAAAAATTGACTACATCAGATTAGAACAGGGGAATCTACTCCAGCTCAAATAATCTATAAAACAAGAAACAGTTTATAATAGCCATATCAATAACCAAACCAGAATTTACCATAGGTGGAATTCTTAACGCATAAGACAACAAAAGGCAACAAAAAAGAATAACAGTACGGTGCAGATAAGGCTCATCAACTCCATGACTATTGACATGGGTTCAACTTTACGTTGCTCCCCTTGGCTCATCCAGTGTGGAAGGCTGTAAGGCTTCCTATTCTTCTACCAAAAACCTCTTCTGCTTTATTTGAAATTTAATTCCTTTTCACAAGAGAAATTGTTGAATTCAGCTTCAATTTCATGGCATTTTCAAAGGTTTGGCCATATCAAAGGTTCAGCTTCAAGAAGCCTGCACTAATTGTTGGGTACTTCAACACGTCCAGACATAAGTTGAAATGAAAAATAAAGCATTCATAAAAGCAATGCCGTCCAAAGTACTCTACCAACCTCTTTTCCTGTGCAGTATTGTTATCAATGCATTAAATGCAATGAAATTGCATTAAAACCATAAAGAGCCAAGCCGAGCACAGATCCATCTATCTCAATTTGATCTTGTATGGGACAAATGTCTAGAAGATAATTAACAGGCACTGGATGATAAAAATAAACAGGTCCAAAAGTTGTTCCATAATGACCTCTATTGTCACAGAATGTTCCGAAATATCCACAATTTTAGCTCTGAAAATGTCCACCAGCCACTTTATCTGAGATTGAGAATTTCCAAGAACAAGTAATGAGTAAAAAGAAGCAAAGAAGGTACTCAACAACACATACACAACATACATTCACAGATAAAACACCTGCAAATCACTAAGAAGTTACCTCAGCACGATGTTTTGGGTCAGCATGCACTTTTATGAGCATCAGCTCACGTTCTACCTGGGATTCTTTGGAAAGATCTTCTACCTGGTCAAATGACATTAACACAAGCCAGTTAGAGAAGTCCCAAACTAGAAGCAGGGGGCAAACGTTTAAAACAGATATGTGAATAATACTGAAATTTCATTCAAGATAATTCAGTTGAGGACAAGAAGCTAAAACTAAATAAAAAGGGGTTTCAAGTTATGAACAGAGACTCCTAAAAGGACAGAAATAAACACTAATTAAAGCACTGTTATAGTCAGATCCATTAAGGCTCCAAAGGACTGAAATAAATAAAAAATGTGGATATTTTACCTTCCTGAAAAGAGAACTAGCAGTAGGGAATCAGCCTTTGGAGATTACTAAAACCAGATTTTATCCTCTTAGCATTAAGCACTCTGATTACCAGCCGTTGTGTCTCAAAAAAAAATAATTTTTTTATAGAATGCATCCCAAAATGATTTATTAGCATGTAATTATCTACAATCCTGTGAACCAAACAGAAGCTAGAGATGCCTCATAACCTTTAAAACATTCACAAGCTTGTGAAGCTGCTCTACAACTTGTTGTAGCACCCTTTCAGTTCCAGATACAACTATGGTGAAGAGCGCCTTGTCCTCATTCAGACCAACAGCAAGTGACTCAATATTATATCCCCTTCTAGCAAAGACCCCCGCAATCCGATTTATCATTCCACTCTCGTCACCAACAAAAACTGAAATTGTGTGTCTTCTAACTCTGGATTAATCATGAATGGCACCAAGTGAGCACAAAATTGGAATACATGTACAATAATACTGAGGAACTGCATTCATCCGATTGGATCATGACTTTAAGATAATATGTCACAATTTCTAGAGCAAAGTACATTGTATAATTAGCCCACAGTTCATAAGCCTAAAATGCATGTTCCAACTGGGAACTTCTAATGAAAGCAGCAACATTCAAAAACTGTATTAATGAACTTGTAAGCTCATTAAATAAATAAAGTGAAGACGAGCCCATCGTTCAGTAGGTCCTGGAAGCTCTTAATCAAATGGCTTACTTAAATTGTAGCAATTACATCAGGGAAAGACAAGGTATTCACCAAGTTAATCAGCCTAAAAATAGCCAATCACTAGTCTTGTAATTATCTCTCATATTTTTGTTTTAACTCTAAATTTCAACAGACTGTTATCCCTCTTGAAAAGTAGATAAACTAATAGAAGGTAATAAAATAGACGATAGGATTATGGTTATTCGTAGACCATCATAATATAGCAGGCTTAGGAGTTAGGATAGACATCCCACAATATCATAGTTATGAGAATTCAATATTCACAGAGCATCATAATATAGGAGGCTTAGGAGTTAGGATGGACATCCCACTCCATTAGAGTCAGGTTCATTAAGAGGAAGAAGAAATCGAACAGGAATATAACACATATGAGTAAACAAATGATTTTTTTTTTATTCTACTAACAACAATGTTGTGGTTGTCAATCAAGAAATAACACGGTCAAAAAGCCAATTTACAGTCTATAAAAAAGGTCAATTTACAACAAAGACGTATCTTTCGAAATACTACGATTGCAACAAGGAAAGAGGAATGGAGAGGAAATAACACTATACTTTTGCTCGAAGAATAATTTCCATACATACGCTGATCGAAAGGACGAAGAGGTAGGCCTGTTGGAAGAGAATGAGTCATCACTACTAACTTTGTTGTCACTACTTGTAGCCGAGACCACCAGTTTCTTGGTTCCGAAATCGTGGGATTTTCGTATCAAAGCAGAAGATTTCAAGACAAGTGGCAGGGCTTTTCCCTTAGAAAATCCAGCATGGGAATGAAAGGTTTGAACTTGAGTTAATGGAACCGCCATTGTTAGAAAAGCCAAACGACAAAGCAGCCCGTAAGCACAGTGGCGGCGGATTAGGGATACGGGTTCTCCACTCTCCCACCTTATGCTATGCTGGTAGAGAAGACAAATCCGATCGATACATATCCAATACTTTAATACCTTTATTTTTAAAAAATATAAGATATGATATATTTTCAATACGATGTATATATATTTAAAAAATAAAAAAATAAAAAAATATAATTTTAATTTTAATTTTAATTTAAAAATATTTAAAATAGAATATATAGTTCTATAAAATAATCTCAAGCAAAACATAATCATTACTTTCATTTTTATTATATTTATGTAACATCTCAAAGAAAATTTCCATAATTTATTAATCTAATAAAAGGTAATTATTTGAATTTAAGTATAATTAGATTTTAAGATAGTTAAAAATGATTACTGAGTTTGACTTCAATCTTAAAATTAGGTTCTAAAATGAATTGGGTTAATAAGGTTCAAATTATAGAGAGAAATTAGACTTTTAGCCCACTATGTATTATGTTATAGCATATTCCCCCTGGTTCTTTATTAGTCACCTTATAAAAGGGTGAAGTGGTCCACTTTATAAGTCATTAGATTGATAGTAATATTTTATTTTAAATAAAATGTTTAAACTATCCTTAAAAATTAAGAGAGAGAAAAACAAAAAATAATATTATATAATTTATTTACTTTTTAAGAGTTATGTTTGCAATTTTACTAAATTGTATTCTTTGTACTTTTGTTGTATTGTTATTGATGAGGTTGGAAGAAATGACTTATAAATAGAATCAGAGAGAGTAAAAATTTACGCTGCAGCACAATTTCTTGAACCAGTTTTTTTTAAGACACAAAAATCAGTTCTAAACAGAGAGGGAGACCAAAAATAGAGAGGGGGCGACCAAATAAATATTTTCTTTATTAGGGCATCAACTTTTTGGCATTTTGGAGGTGATTAAAGCTTAATTTCACCTGGTATGCTTTTTTTATTTCTTCTTCTTCTCTCTATACATTTTAAAAGTGAGATTTGAAATTGGGAGATGAGGATTTTCGAATTTAAAGCTATGGATCTAAATTCATTAGTTTAAATGAAACTAATAGGAGTTGTTTAAATATTTTACATATAGTTTAGAAGTTTTTATAAGGTTGTAAGCTTAGGTTGGGTCATTCATTTTAGACGAACCCTAAATCTTCAATGTGTGATTTTGAATTGTTGGATGTTATATTAGTGATTATTTAAGTTAATAGAAACTAAATGGAGTTAACAGGAGTTAATAAAACTAATGGTTATACTTAAGTGCAAGAAATTGAAATTTTGGATAATTAAAGTGTTGATTAATGAAAGTTGAAAAAGTGTTTATGATAATATTAATGATGATTGGTGTGATTAATTGTAGATCAATCATCTTTTGTACCATTCAAGCTTTAATATAGCTTGCGAGGAACCTTTATTAAGGGATAAACCTTTAACCTCTTAAAGGTTTGAATAATGGGAGAAAATTTAGTTTGTACATTTATTTGTTAATTAGTTATAGCTATTTATAATTAAATAGAAAATAAGAGTATGTTTTTGAATATATGAAAGAATGCAAATTATGTCATAGAGTTAATATTTAATGGTTTTGTTGTGAAAAAGAATGTGATTGTGTGAAATTATTTTTTATGCTTTGTTTAAGCATGATTTGAAGAAAACATGAATTTGAGAAATGATGAAATTGTGACAAGAGTGCAGAGGAGTATGAGAATAATGAGTGTGATATATGCATGCCATGTAAAGAACTTGATGAATCATTACATATGTTATGTTTTAGCCGTGATTTCATTACATGATGCCTTAAGGGATATTTCCGACCTGTTGCTTGTAGGGTAAGTTTTGTACCACTTTAACATCTAATTATATACTAATTTCTCTTAGTTTAAAATTGTTGAGAAATTAAATCCAGAAGTTTTAAGGGTTGTTTCCTTACCTTATTGTAAGAAAAAAACTGTTTAAAGTTAAATTAATACTTTCAATTGATTTGAAAGTTAGTGATAAAACTTTAAAGCTATAGGCTTATATTAGTTGAATTAAGAAAGAGAAAATAGGTAAAGGTTTAGAAAGGAGTGTATTAAGGCTATAATAAGAGGTAAATGAGTTTAAAAGGATGAATTGAACTTAGAGAGGGTAATTGATAGAATTTAGATGTTAAGACTATAATAAGAGGTAAATTGTAAGCTTTTCCTTACTTAACTATATTTAACTCTAATCTCAAGGTAATTAAAGGACTAAACCATCAAAAGATTATCAAATTTATAAAATTACAAAAATACTCTCAAATCATTTACAATGATATCTTTAAATTCAATATTTTCAATCTCAAACAAAAATTTGAAATGCTCAAATAAGAGTTTTAAAACAATGCGAAAGTTTAAAAATCACATGAGGAGCTTCAAAATTTAAAACTGTGTTTTGTATGGAAAACAACCTATGTGCCCAACTTATGACATATGCGTTGCGGCTCACTCACCTCTATGCCATGCGTCGCGACATGAGGTACCATACGTCGTGACACATTGCACAAATTTGACATATATTAGCTGTCAAAATGACAACACAGGAAGCGAACTTCAAACGCGTCCTAAATCTCCATCTAACATTTGATTGAGGTAGTTTTGATGCCTACACCGAGCTTTCTCCTAATTCTAACTAATGACACAAGTTTTATACTCGAATTCAGTTTTTATAAAAAGTTGGACATCAAAACCTATTTTTACCACTTTTCACATAAAACACACAACTTTAGTGTCCCAATTCAACCACACATGCCAAAAGCCTACATTGACTCTCTAATCATACTCAATGGACTCTAACGGACCCATGCAAAATACCATACACAACTGAAAACACATATATTTCAAATTCACGATTCAACCTTAATTTTCACAAAACACAAGGGGGAGAAAATTCATGCACAAAACCATCATTTTCATTTCAAATTATTCAAAATAAACATCTTCCTACTTGTACAAGTATTTTGGCCCTATCCATGGTTTACAACTAAAATCTCACTAACTCATGGCACAAAATACACAAGTTGTACTCTATAGTAATGCAAGTGGTACAGAAATGGTAACATGTGATCTAGTATACAATTATACAACATTAATATACAAAAATAGAGTAGAGAGGCATGAGAGTAGGATTTTTACCACAACCCTATGCCTTAAAATGTTTTCACCGAATTGGGTCTGATGAGCTAGGCCTTGAAAATATTGAGAATTAAAGGGTGAGTACAACCACTCAGTAACTAAGTTTTACCTAATCTATATAGTTGCATATCAATTGTAAACAGATGCAAATAGGCAAACATATACAAATATAGCATATATGGTAAGAATGGCCACAACTCACTACACTTACAACCATGTGGTTAGGCCTTAAACACAAAGACTTATTAAATTCTAATGCACATATTGGGGTCACAATAATATCAACCATACACCCCTAAAACATACTGAATCACAATACTAACAACCATATGGTCGGATTTATATGCATGATCAAATGCTAACCTTATACCCTCCTGTTACCTCTGACACGAAATCAGTGGCTGTCATGTAGTTACGTCCTTCATAGACTAACTTAGCCTTCTACTTGTGAGGAGCTACTAGGCCAGGGTTAACTCACTTACTTATGTAATCCAGTTTCTTCAATACTAACAACCATGAGGTGTCATACCCTTAATCTAGCCTCTTCATGAATCGGTGAAGACTAGTTAGGTTCGAGTCCTTTATATAGCAAGTAGGATAGTCCCAAATCAACCATGAGATAAGGGTTACCTCTCGATTCTAATGATTGGTGCCAAGAGGAGTTTTCAATTTTAACAGTCATTACCAATACCACATAGATTTGCCAACTACTTCTCTCCCTAAGCGAACTCCCACCAATGATTATGCTATGCATGTACATCACATATTTATGCATTCTAATTCACAATGTATCTCACATGATATAACATATCTAAATTCATAAACTCAATATACTCCACAAGTCAAACATCACATTTAGCATCAATTTCACAATAACAAGCCATTAATCAAAATCATTGCTCATAAAATGCAAACCTATATGAGGTTCACCATTTTTCTAAAATTATTTCTCACCAATTCATCAATTCATTACCATTTCAAACATGCCAAATTTGCATAAAAAATTAGAAATATAAATCATATCTCAATTCAATTATTTTAATAAATAAACAATTAATATTCAACAATATAAATTAGGTTTCTCTTGGTTACCTTAATCTTTAAGAGGTTAAAGATTTACTACTCTAAATACTAACTTTCAAAGCTTTTCTCAAGCTTGAATAGTGCCACAATGATTCACACTACAATCATAACCAAGATTACCATCAAAATTCCACTCTTAAGGACTAACCAACATTACTTTCACATTTTCTTTACTCCACCAATCCTATAAATCTTTACCTATCCATACCCAATTAGTTCATTAGGTTCCATTGACTTACATTACTACCATTAAGTCTATAAACCACTATTAATGAGCCTTAACTCTCCCAACAACCTTATTAATGGCAATTTTCACATAAAAAAAAACTCACCTGAACTAACTCTTGACAAAATCATCAATGTCGGGTTTAACTACCTCAAACAACTCCCATTATATTTATTTTAATCAATGGGATCGGACCCATAACTCCCATAAATCAAAAATTACCATTAATGCTTAAACCCTAGCTTAACCTTCATAAATGTAAGGGAGAAAGGAAGAAAAGGGCATATATTACTTACCTTGGGTGTTGGAGAACTTCAATCTATCCTCAAGGCTTCCAATGCTCTTCAAGTTTTCTCCTTCTACTTCTTTGTTTTCTTGCACAAAGCACGAACTAATAAAGTCAAAATTCTAGACGTGCACCGTGACGTATGGCACAAAGAGGCCTATTACATTTAAATTTTCCTTTGTGCACCATGATGGATTGACCACATGTCGTGGCATGTGGCACAGAGGACTTCACCTTACTTTTTCTTTCTCTTTTCTTGCTTAGGTGATTCGCCATCAATTCGAACACATTTTTAGGGCTAAAATTAC